AAAGGAAAGGAAAGGAAAGGAAAGGAAAGGAAAGGAAAGGAAAGGAAGAATCGGCTGATGCATGTGGCAACTGCAACCGTTCGACAGGCCTCCCGAGCTAACTTTCCATGGCTTGGGTTTTCATGGAGCGCAGGCCAGCTCTCTGACGCGATCCTGTGCCATCATGCCCCAGGACAAGCGCACCCAGCAGCAACCAAAACAGCTGGCCCCGTATCTGCATACCACCCCACACCATCCCAGGCAGAGGATGTGTCGGATGAAAAAGGTAACAGCTGCTTCAGCCTGACACTTTCCTTCAGAGCCAAGCTGAGTTAGAAGCAGGGGTGTCAAAACTCAAGGCCTGAGATTTGGCCCGCAGTGCCTCTGGCAGGGAAAATGGAGCTCGGCCCCCACCCCACCCAACCCCCATGTCCTGTTTTCAGCTGCGACAGCCGCCTTCAGCCCTTTGCCCATGAAACGGAACTGGGGGGGGGGAACGGGGGGGGGGGGCTTGCTCCATTTTCACTGGCAGGGGACTGTAAGAGGCTGTCGCAGCCGAAAAGGGGCTTGGGGGCCGCGCGCAGTCCCCACCCAGCTCAGTTTTCACTGACGGGGGGGGGGGGGGGGCTATCAAAGCAGACTAAAAGCAAAAGGAGAAATGCTTTCCCCCTCTGCATTTGAGCGTGCAAGAAGGGACGGATGAGGAAAAAGGGGAAAGAGGAAAGAGAAAGAACAAGAAGGAAAAATGAGAAGGGAGCAAGGAAGGAAAAATAAGGAAAGAGGGGAAGAAAAGAGAAGGAAGAAGGGAGGAAAAAGAAGGGAAGGAAGGAAGGAAGGATAGCAGCCTTCCAATATTTTGAGGGTATGCGACAGAAGAGGAGGAAGGGGTCAAGCTATTTTCTAAAGCTCCTATGGGCCAGACAAGGAATAATGGATGGAAAGTGAACAAGGAGAGATTCAACTTGGAAATAAGAGGAAACTTTCTGACAGAACAATCAACCCATGGAACAGAAGTTGCCCTCAGAAGTTGTGGGAGCACCATCAGTTGAGACTTTCAAGAAGAGATTGGACTGCCATCTGTCAGAAATGGTGTAGGGTCTCTTGCTTGGGCAGGGGGGTTGGACTAGATGACTTACAAGGTCCCTTCCAACTCTGATTATCTGTTAAGGAAGGAAAGAAGGAAAGAAAGAGAGAAAGGAAGGAAAGAAGGAGAGATGGGAGGGGTGGGAAAGAAGGAAGGAAGGAAAGAGAGAGATTGAGAAAAAGAGGAAGGAAGGAAGGAAGGAAGGAAGGAAGGAAGGAAGGAAGGAAGG